GACAAGGAAGAAATTGCTTTGCTAATCTGGTCTGATCCTCTTGGGACACATTCATTTACAAGCTGTAAAAAAAAAAAAAGCAATGACTGCTAAAAAGATTATAGGAATGCAGGCCAGAGGCTCCAAATTTCAGCAGAATCAAAACCATGTTGATTCTGAGTTTTAAAAAAACACAAAACAAATGGAACAACAAAAGGAGCTTTTTTTTTCCCCCTTTGCATATATTCAAGCAATCATTTTGTTATTCTGAGAAATTATAGTGATTCTGCCATTAGCAGTACATGATGTATAAACGGATGTGAGGAAGGCGCCTTCTGTTTCTTAGCTTAGCTTGATTTGCAGTCACCGTAATCACAAAGTTTTGCACTTGTTTAACACAAGTCTGATTTTGGCTTAAGGAAATCAGTGATCTGCATTGTACATTAGGGCATTCTGTGGCAATTAGCACACAAGCAATCTTGCCATTTAGGGAATTAAGAGTCAATGATGGGCTTTTCAGTTAATTCAATAATCTTATTGGGCTTGTAAAACTCTTGACTGTTAATGGTGACATATATTAGTATTGGGGGGGTTGGGGTGGTACAATGTCAATTCTAGTCCTAAACTTTCCTTAAGGAATTAATTCTATCCAGTGTTTGCCTAAATGTTATTTCAATCAATAATTAAGCAATTAACGGCAGCAATATTCTGGACGTTTTACAAGCATCTTTTAAGCTGAATGGCCATTTTGCACTGAAGTTTCGAGGAATCTTAGAGCTAAAAACAAGGACATTTAATCTTTTTTATGTGGGGAATCCTTAATCACTGGATTAACTTGTCATTGTATCAGCCTCATGGCTTTACTTTTAATTTTCTTAATGCAGAGCTGTCAAATATAAAGAAAGCCTAAAGATGCATGGATTGTGTTATTAAATGCTTTAGGCCAATTGTGGTGCTGAATTTATTTATGGCCAGGTGGAGAAGTCTCTGTTTACTTAAAACAGTCTTTTTCTGGCTTCCTGCCTAGCCTATTCTTCCAATTATGTCAAAACAAGTTGTCAGTGAAAAAGAAGACAGAGTCTCTTTGTGAGGTACAGGCAGTTGTGTCATACTGTACATCTGAATGTCTTTTGATTCTTTCATTGACAGGTTTTCTGGATGGACGGGGAAGTTCCCTGTTACTAGTATGGGGAAAATAATGCTTCCCAGGTGCCTGAGTAGTTATAAAATCATCTCCTAAAAACTGACAATATCTAGAGGTCAGTTGAAATTTCTTAAAAGAATATAAGGATTGCTCTGATAAGACGACTAGATTACAACAAATAAAAAGAATCTGTTCGAAGAAAAGAAACCAAGAACCAAGGACTCTGCTGAAGAAAAGAAAGCTGGAGAAGGAAGCTCACTTTTGGTCTGAGAACATTTTCAGGAATTCAGAATTCTTCCATTTATTTTGCTGGATATGCCTGAATTGGAGTATTGGACTAGCTTCAAATTTCACAACACAGATTCAAAATCAATGTCTATGGAGATTCTCATTCATCCAAGTCATGGTTGTCCCAAAGGTGCCTTTTCAAGCGGCAACTGGACTTTCAGAAAATCCAGTTGCCTCTTAAAAAAGTACTTTTGGAATTCCAAATCAATGCAACATATAGGTTCTGCCACTTGCCAGAGTTTGCTATTATTTTTTTCATTTCGTAATATTTAGTTGTATTAAAAATCAAACCTCCCTTTTATGAGGTGTTTCTCTGGTAGAGAATCATAAATAGCATCTGCTATTATGGTAGTATTCAGATAAACGTTGCCACCTATCTTTTTGTTGGTCTTTGAACAATTCTTTAGACTAACGCCTTACTTCTACAATGTGAATTTGATTCATTGGGATTGATTAAAAGACCCCCAGTGAAGCAGACAGTTGCTTTTGATTGTTTTTCTTTAGTTCAGAACAGAACAGAATAACAGAGTTGGAAGGAACTTGGATGTCTTCTAGTCCAACCCCCTGCTCAGGCAGGAGACCCTATGCCATTTCAGACAAATGGTTATCCAGTCTCTTCTTAAAAGCCTCCAGTTTCAGAGCACCCACAACTTCTGAAGCCAAGCCATTCTACTGATTAATTGTTCTCACTGTCTGGAAATTTATCCTTGGTTCTCTCCTTGATTAGTTTCCACCCATCGCTTTTTGTCCTTCCTTCTGCTGCTTTGGTAAATAGGTTAAAGTTCAGCCCATTACTTCTGTTTGGGTTCTTCAAATCTTTATGTGGGTGCGATGTCTTTGGGTGTTGTGGAATTGGGTGCTGACACCAGAAGAGTATTCAAGGCCTTGCAAATCATACTACTGTGCCATATGGCAATACTGTGATAGCCATGATACTATTGTTCAGGTGTATTTATTCAGAGAACTTCTCATATTGCAACCCTGCTTTCAAACCAGTGCAGAACACACAAACACATATACACAAATAAAACAGAATTATGATAAATAAGTCAAGAAACCTTCATGTGCCATATTTTTAATCTGTTGGTGGCTTTTATATTATAAGTATAAATGTACAATTATGATGATAAAAGTGACAGATTGGGTAAAATGGAAAAGAAATCTGGAACCTGGATAGCTCAACAGACTAAAAGCCTGTTATTAACATTCAGCTGTCTGCAATTACTGCATGTTCGAATCTCCCCAGGCTCAAGGTTGACTCAGCCTTCCATCCTTTCTAAGGTAGGTAAATTGAGGACCCAGTTGTGGGGGCAATAAGCTGACTTTGTATAAAATATACAAAAGTATGAAGGCTATTGCTTAACGCATTGTAAGCTGCCCTGAGTCTCCGGAGAAGGGCGGCATATAAATCTAATAAAAAAAATCAAAAAGGAAGTATATATTATTAGAATATTGGAGTTGCTCGGATACCAAACAGGGAATATATTCCACAACAAAGGAGAAAGAAAGGAGAGAGGAGTAGAGGGTAAGAAGATGAGAGGGAGAGAGAGGAATGGAAGAAAGGGGAAAGGAGAGGAAGAAAGGACAGGGGACAGGAGTAAGAGAGAAGGTGAGAAAGGGGGGAAAGAGGGGAGAGTGGGGGGAAAGGAAGGGGAAGTAGGAAAGAGGAAGGAGAGGAGGAGGGAGAAAGTAGAAGAGAGGAGGGAGGGAAGGGAAAGAAAGAAGAAGGAGAAGGTTCGTTGTGAAATGAGGAAATAAAACAGAATTATGATAAATAAGTCAAGAAACCTTCATGTGCCATATTTTTAATCTGTTGGTGGCTTTTATATGGTTACCTTCTGGGATCTTTGACTTGGCTTATAACTGAAGTTTTACCACCAGCTTAAAGGATAAAGATTCGTGAAAAGTTCATAAATATCAAATTGTTTCCAAATCAAGTCAAGGTGGGCCAAGTCATCAGTGGGCCAAAAAGACAGGGGTGCCACTGTTTGATACTTTTCAAGAAGCAGGAATCAAGCCAAATCCATCTTTATATGATATTATGTTGTGGGCTGCAGTAGGCAAGAACAAACAACATAAATACAACAGCATGTATTGACTTAACTGAAACTACCAACAACAGGCAAATTCCTGTAATTGATACTCTGGGCCCACAGGGCCTCAACCAATCATAATACTTGAAAAAGCCCACCCAAATATGAACGCTCTACGTTTCCCTCCAAAACAGTTGAAGTTAACAGTTAGGGTCATCTAAAGGTTAGTTTCGCTTTAGCAGGGCTTAACACAATTACATGTATTCAATACATAGCAAATGATGTAAGCAACAGTGTGGCTCATTGGGCCAATTCATAATATATTATGTTCGTTATTCCAGCAGTGAATACAAATGCTGCAGTAGTCTTGAAGCATTGCCGTGGTTTTACAGGTGAGAACTACATGCAGGGGACATTGGATTCTGAATTTCTATTTTTAGTCTTTGACTGATCTCTATCCTGCATAAACGAGTCGGTGAGAGTGACAGAGGCAATAGAGTGTGGCAACAAACCACAAATAGGATCTAGCAGAGTTGGTGAGAGGACAGGAGGACTCACAGCCAAGAATGTGGAGGCAGCTGGCTGTGCTGGAGTGCTTGCAGTGGTGCTAAAAGGAAGCCATCTCCAGTATTCCAACACCACCAAACAGAAAATAGTGATGTTGAGCTTTTGGATTAAAACTGACCATATATCCTTCTGCTGAAGCCCTTAGAAATAGTTGTTTAGTCCATTTGGTAAGTTTGATTGAGATCTTAGAGATCATAGTTAGGCAACCTTTTTTTTTTTAATGGTTTGCAGAGTGACACAGTTGAAATGTTCTGTTGTATTTCTAAGATATGCCAGAACACATCTCTATTCTAAATAGTATTGTGAGAATTGTTTGTAAATGCTTGACCTTACATTATCCCAGAGCATTTGTCTATATGTTAGAGATAAGAAAATAATTGGCAGTCCTACAAAGGCAGTGATTTTGAAACTGCACTAAGAAATGGTTCAGACAAGCCAACCAATAGCTAACATTGAGCAATCAGCACAATAAAGTTATGAAAATGCTGAGAAGGGAGGGGAGGGGAGGGGAGGGGAGGGGAAGGGAGGAAGGAAGGAAGGAAGGAAGGAAGGAAGGAAGGAAGGAAGGAAGGAAGGAAGGAAGGAAGGAAGGAAGGTAGGAAGGAAGGAAGGAAGGAAGGAAGGAATCTGGGTTTAATGCTTCGCTCAGTTTTCAGTAACCAAGATATTCAAGTGATTCCTGAATTATGAGTCTGCTGAGAGAAAGGGGGAAATGTCTGACTTCCTGGAGGATTTGAGAGAGGCATGAAACCATTCCAGAGATTGAGGGGAAAGAGGAGGGCGAGGGCTTCATTTCCCTTCTGCCCATGCTCCTGGGGGCTGCCCAGGCCTTTGGACAGGCTGACATGACAAGGGGGAGACAGGTGCAGGGCTTGCAATAGCTCCTCTGAGAGGCAGCTCCACCTCTCTTGCCTTATTTACAGAGCTACCATCTGCTCGATCTAAAAGGAGCAACCATTCAAAAAATGACCCTGCTGCTGGAGGGGAGTTGGTAGAGCAACGGCTGCTGATGCTAACAGGAGCAAGGTGGCAGCTGCTGGGCATAAAAGTGATGGAGCTGAAGGGCTGCCGGCTTGACCATGAAGTCGAGCGGGGGTGCTGCATCCGATCTGGAGGAGCTGGAGAGTGGCAGCAGCGAGAGCAGCTCCGGCCATTCCCTGCCTGGCACCGGGGCCCAAAGCAAACGCAAACGCAAGAGCCCTCGGCTGAGTGGTCACAACAAGCAGAGGCAGGCAGCCAATGCTCGGGAAAGGGACAGAACCCACAGCGTCAACAGTGCTTTCAGCGCCCTCCGCACACTCATCCCAACCGAGCCTGCAGACCGTAAGCTGTCCAAGATCGAAACCCTGCGCCTGGCCTCGAGCTACATCTCGCACCTGGCGAATATGCTGCTCCTACAGCAGCAGCAGCAGCAGCAGCAACAATCCAGTGGGAACTTGGCTGAGGAGGCCTTGCTTGTGAGGCAGCCCTGCCTGCAGTATCAACCTCTCCTGCAAGGAAGCCCTGCCTCAGGGAGCCCAAGATCCATCTGCACCTTCTGTCTGAGCAGCCAGAGGAGACTGGTAAGGTTGGCATCAGGCCCTCCCTGATCCCCAAATGATGATCCATGCAGAAATGGCCACTGCGCTACCACCTCGAGTCTAGAAGGTGGCAGTGTTTAGGCATCCTTGCCCCATATTTTAAATCAACTTCCTTGATTCAGATTCTGTGCTTTTGCACAGGCAGAAAAGGGGTACCTACATGAAACAGATGGGAAGGTAGAACTTAATCTTCGTATTAGCAGCATGCCAAATATCATATCACAGACAAACCTTCTTTTAAGTGTCTTGGGGTGCCTTCTCATTCTCGAAAAGGGAGTGCTTCTGACCTCTTTTTAAAGACAGGTAAGGGGTTTTTTTTTTCATGTGAGCCTTGCATATAGAAATAAATGAACAAAAGCTGCATTTGCTTTGTTTTGTAGCTGGAAAAGTAACCTTTATTATTATGTTTTTCCTTTTTATAAGCAATCCTTAGATTGTTCAGGACTTTGAGTAGTATACTTTTACTGTATTTCTCACAGAGACTGTTTTATCTTACCCTCCCCATTTCAGGGTTTACATTAAACAAACAAAACTAAAACAGCAAACTTAGCCTTGAGAATGAACATGACTGACTGAAGGTATAAGTAAAGATCTGCAAGTAAGACTAACCAGCTTCAATAGATATCTAGATAGATGAGAGAGAGAGAGAGAGAGAGAGAGAGAGAGAGAGAGAGAGAGAGAGAGAGAGAGAGAGAGAGAGAGAGAAAAAGATAGGTGGGTGGATATAGATAGAAAATAGAGAGACAGACAAGGATGAATGGATGGATGGATGGATGGATGGATGGATGGATGGATGGATGGAAGTAAGTAGGTGGGTGGGTGGGTAGATGGATGGATGGATGGAGATAGATAGATAGATAGATAGATAGATAGATAGATAGATAGATAGATGATAGATGGATGGATGATAGATACATATAGATATAGATATATCATTTCCATATCTATATATCTAATCTTTCTGTCTGTGTGTGTATGTGTCCACAACACTGGTGTGATCTCCTCTGTCTCTGATAGAGCAAGTGAAATATTCATTGGCCATGGGCAACAGAGATGAAAAAAACATAAATGTATGTGTTTATGTATCCTGCTGTTTAATAATGGATGCTTTTGGTCCTATTTGCAGCACAGAGAATGGGACAAACACCTGTCACTTTAAAATTTTTATGGATGTTGATTCAGATGAGCTACTTGTGTAAATGCTGGACTGGTTACAGAACAGCTCTAGGTAATGGCTTGGCACTCGTGTCATAATATTCGTGTTGAAATTGTGCAGTTATTTGAACCTCATTTTGAAAGGCAGGGGCAAAATAGTAACCACAATTTGCACTTGGTTTTCCCTTGCAGCAGACCAGTTCCAAGGGCCTTTTTGCAGATGAAATTGAACACGGTGAGGAAAGTTGCACCTGGCGTGGCAGCTATTTTCGTGCAAGAAATGCTAACCCTAAGCAGCCGATGCCTCCCAAACTGATGTCACATGATGGAACTTGAGCTTCCCAACATCCAGCATCTCCTTATCGTGGAGATTTCAAGTGCATCAGAACTTCTAACCACAACTGAACACACCAAGGAATGGCATTTTTCTCTTTTTCTTTTTTCTCAAGGGCTCCCTTGAAGCCCAAAGGTTTCCACTGAGATGGAAGGTCTGTACCCAAATTGTAGCAAGAATGAATACGAGGTCCCAGTTTATCCAATTTCAATGCGAAAATGATGCTCCCTTAGTTCGCTCTTCTGATCCTAGGAAACAATTAGTTCCTGTTTAAGCATATAATCCTGTTCTCTCTAGCTACCATGTTTCCCCGAAAATAAGACCAGGTCTTATATTTATTTTTGCTCCAAAAGACGCATTAGGGTTTATTTTGGGGGAAATATGGTACTAAATGCATCCATTTGGCTGACAATCTTAACTGGGGCTTATTTGGGGGGTAGGGCTTATATTACAAGCATCCTGAAAAAAATCATACTAGGATTTATTTTCCGGTTGACTCTTATTTTCGGGGAAAACAGGGTAAGTAGTCCAAACATCTCTGGAAAGCATCAGGTTGGAAAAGTCTGCCCTAGCCAGTCACTGTGTTACAATGTGGGGCTTCCAATGCCAAAAAAAAACCAAAAAAAAAAAAAAAACAGTGTCTTTTCTTGTTATGGGAGATCACAAACTCAGAGTATTGTCACATGATGAAAATGGAGCATGATTTTCTTTAGATTAACTGTGAGTCATATACAGGTAGCCCTTGATTTACAATAGTTTGTTTAGTGAACGTGCGAAGTTACAACAGCACTGAAAAAGTGACTTATGACCCTTTTTAACACTTACAACCAGTGGGTGCAATCCAATTTTTTTTTACTACCTGTTCTGTGGGTGTGGTTTGGTGGGCGTGATGTGGTTTGGTGGGCGTGATGTGGTTTGGTGGGTGTGGCTTGGTGGGCGTGGCAGGGGAAGGATACTGCAAAATCCCCATTCCCACCCCACTCCTGGGGGAAGGATATTGCAAAGTCTCCATTCCCACCCCGCTCTGGGGCCAGCCAGAGGTGATATTTGCCAGTTCTCCAAACTACTCAAAATTTCTGCCACCGGTTCTCCAGAACCTGTCAGAACCTGCTGGATTTCACCCCTGCTTACAACCATTTCCAACATCTCTACAATTACATGATCAAAATTCAGATGCTTGTCAACTGGCTCCTATTTATGATGGTAGCAGTTTCCCGGGGTCTTGCGATCACCTTTTGTGACTTTCTGACAGGCAAAGTTAATGGGGAAGCTAGATTCACTTAAAAACCAGGTTGCTAATTGTACAATTGTGGTGAGAAAGGTCGTAAAACAAGGCAAAATTCACTTAACAACCATTTCACTTAGCAACACAAAATTTGGGTTCAATTCTGGTCCTTAGTCAAGGACTTCCTGTGCATTCAGATTGTTATCTAAGAGACAAAGAACTGCATTGTAAAGTAGTGGAGAAAGGAAAGTAAACTGCTTTTGGACAGCATAACTTAGAAAATTATTTGCTTTTTAGAGTTAGGGTTATATGATACACTGGTCATGGTGATCAGAAGAAACCTTCTCCCTTCTCTCTTCTCAAGCCTTGTCCTTTGGGAAATATTACATAATAAGGTTTCCTCTCCCCCCCCCCATTAATGGTAGGAGAAACTGGATATATAATGACTCCATGGCTAGTTCTGAGCAACTACTTGACCCATATACAAAATTTGGCATGAAGACCTGAAGATCAGTAGCAGACATAACATCCAGGATTGACACAGATATATTTGAAAAGCGAGAGCTGTTTCGTGAAGCTGAGACATGATGTTGAGGTCTTCCTTATAGAGATATCATAGTAGCGAAACTATAAACAAAGCTGATATTGCAGTATCCAATTGGGTCAGTCACCAGGACCAGAGGTGCAGTCTTCTGAGTTTTCAGACTCAAGCTGGAGCCCATCCTCAGGGAACTTCTCTCTAGTAGACACACCTGAGGATGGGTTCCAGCATGAGTCTGAAAGCTCAGAAGACTAAACCTCTGGTCCCAGAGACTGACCCAGATTAGATCCCACAACAGTATCCTGAGACACATATATTTGCCTTCATTCGTGAAAGTTGATGTTGTCCAAGTGCTTTGCAAGACACTCTATCCTTTCTTTCTTTCCTTTCCTTTCCTCTCCTTGTCCTTTATGGGAATAAAGGAGACCATCTCCTTTATTGGCCACCTCTTTGATGTTATCTCAGCGAGGCTGAGGCTTCAATTATAGGAGCGGTGTTTTTTCATTATCAGCAGCAGAATGAGAAGATACGGGTTCCCTCTACCTAAGAGATAGATTATTTATGCAAATTAGATTACCCGTGTTTCCCCAAAAATAAGACCGGATCTTATATTAAATTTTTCTCCAAAAGACACATTAGGTCTTATTTTCTGGTTAGGTCTTATTTTGGGGGAAATACAGTACTAAATGCATCCATCTGGCTGGCAATCTTAACTGGGGCTTATTTTGGGGGTAGGGCTTATATAACGAGCATCCTGAAAAATCATGCTAGGACTTATTTTCTGGTTGGGTCTTATTTTTGGAAAAACAGGGTATTTATTGGCTTGTATATTGAACCTTTCCAGGGCTAGGAGAAAATTCTGGAAATTAGCCATACAAGAATAAAGTGTGACAATTTCTAATAGCAATTCTCCCTCCGCCCCTTCCCCGCCCCCCCAAAAAACCTGTAGTGCCTTACACTTGGGTCTCTATGATAATTGTTCCAGGGGATGGAGCAAAATATATGCATTTATGATACTTGCTGTGTCCTAGGGTCAGGTGATCCCATTTGCGACCTTCCCAGCTGACATCTGACAAGCAAAGTCAATGAGGAAAGCCAGATTCACTTAACAACCACGTGGTTCACTTAACAACTGGGGAGATTTGCTTAATATCCGTGGCAAAAATGTTGTAAAATCGGGTGTGACCCACTTAACAACTGTCTTGCTTAGCAATGGAAATTGTGGTCTCAATTGTAGTTATAAGTTGAGGACTACCTGTATAATATCCAGCCAGGTTCCCCCTTTCTTCCACTCATTTTTTTCCCTTTTGAAGTTCCTATTAAAATCCTTTACATTGTCCATTCAAAAGCTCTGTCACAGTTTGTATGGCTCCAGCCCTATATAAGAAGAGATCTCTGCTCTTACCCATTCTTTACATCAGCTTGGCTACCTTGTGCCCACCGTAGCACTGCAGTAGGAAAGAGGTGAGGATGAATCCATTGCAGGTGAGCCAACAATGTTCTCATTATCCTTCAGAGATGGGCATCTATGCTGCTAATCCCCATGCCATTCTGGTAGTGGAAGAGGTCAGAGCTTCTCCCCCCTCCCCCCCCCTGTAATGCAACCCCAGCTCTTTACCCCTTTCCCACCCTGATAAAAAGCCACTGACTTTGATAGCCTTCTTCTCTAGGAGATATTTTATATGAGGGAAATATTTAAATTTTGATACTTGTCTCCATATGCATGATGACATGTCCAGGCCAGGAATGGATAAATTAATGAAATGGAATTCTAATAGCCTTTTTAAAAGGCCCTGGTTCCTCTCTAATATATGGGCACTTCACTCTTACAGCTGATTTATGCATTTCTAGCAGCTTATATATCAAATATTAAGTTATTGCTTCTACAGATTTTCCATTACTTGTGGCAGGAGCAATATGTGCACCTTTTTGAGTCTCGGCCACAGATGCTATGGAAAGCCTCCCTCCAATAGGTCAGCCTACAAAAAGGCATATAAATTTAGTAAATAAATAAATAAAATAACTAGGCACCTTCATACTGAAATGAGCCAAGCATGTCAGAGTCCGCCTTGCAACAAAGCTAGCTTTAGCCATAAAGTTGAGCCCAAGACTTGTATCACAGATTCCTTGACAAACTGGCTTATGAAGTAGCTCTTGTGGAAGATGTCTTTTTCCAGAAAGTCCAGTTGCCTTTTGAAAAAAGCACCTTTGGGTCTTATGAAAGATATAGCCCAGGGGTCAGCAACCCGTGGCTCTGGAGCTGCAGGTGGCTCTTTCATCCCTCTGCTGCGGCTCCCTGTTGCTGGTCAGCTCCACAATTGATAAAGCTTTCGGTTAGGACAGGTAGAGGAAAAAGGATGCCGTGCTAGGAGGAGACTCTATGGTGGGAGAACCGATTTCCGGTCAGCAGAGGATAAAGGACGCTGTGCTAGGAGACTATGATGGGGGTCGGCTCCAGAATTGAATGGGGGCTTCCAGTTAGGACCTTTGTGGCTCTTTGAGTTAAACACTCAAAGGTTGCCGACCCCTGATATAGCCAGACAGGAGCAGGCTCCTAGATTTGAAATTGGAGAAGGGCTATGCGGTGGGTCACGATTCTTGAAAGAATGTAGGATCTTTCTAAATTAGTTCATCATTGAAGTGTGGAGCCGAAAAAGTTCCCAGGGACTCTTTATTATTGCTCCTAGGTTTCTCCCACATGGTCACTATACATTATATTTGATGTCATCGCTTTACTGCTTGTTGTGTAGGCCTGCACTCTTCGTTTTGAATTAGACTAAATCTGTAAAATAGGTTTTACGTTTTCAAATACAGGCAGAATAAACCAAAATAAAGTGGAAATTATTAGAGAAGAGAGTTGTGAAATGAGCCTCTGAATATATGTAGGGCATGTGTACACATAGAGCAGTGATGTTTGTATTCCTTTAATATATTTCAACACCTAGTTTCTTACTTCAGTCAAAATTAACAATCCCCCAATTACAGTTTCACAGCATTTGTTAATTTTTAATTTTCTCAATCAATACTTTACAAGTGGATTCTTGTAAAAGTAATATGCTGTAACATATATTTAAAAATCTAATTGAATATTTATTGGTCCTGTTTCCAAGGAACAATATAAAAGAGAAAGAGATTATTTTTTAAGTTTTAACAACAACAACAACAACAACAAAAAACCGAAGCGAATAACATGCATTCAAATTTCTCTGACTATTTCCATCATTATATTAAATAAACTACCAATCTTGAAAACTATATCTATATATGATTTATATGCATTAATAAAGCTTGAATTCAGACAAATTACACATCTCAGCAAGCTACAAAGATGCCAGAATAACAACATACATCCACACATACACAATTACTCAACTGAGAATAGAATAGAATAGAATAGAATAGAATAGAATAGAATAGAATAGAATAGAATAGAATAGGATAGGAT